TTGGAGTGAGTATGAATTTGGTAAATTAGTGTAAAGGCCAAAGTGGGAAAAATCCTTTGTGTCTTGATTCCCTATGTTTCGGCTATGGAGAGTGGTGAGGGACTTGATGTTCAAACATTAAGTTAGAACAATATGGAAACATACATTTGTATGTGTAAGTTACATGTAATTAATAAGAAAAGAGCCCTTGCCTTTTCCTTATAGTGTTCGACCTAGAGGGTAGTATAAGGGACATTTTGTCACATCTTATTTTAATAAAATGTGTTGTAATGCAATGTATAAAATGAATGAGTTAAAGAAAGTGAAATGAATTAAAAATCGTTGAAAGATATTTTGTTCTCCTCTAGGTAGGTCCACGGCCTTTTAAGGAAAGTGGCAAGAATTATATTGTAGAATTCTCAAGTGAACACTTGATTAAATTAAAGAACGCTAACGAGTATAAGGTGGTCTAGACTTGTGTATTGGCATAGGATTGACAAAAATATAAAGAAATGAATATAAGCGATAAAATGTATGCCTTCTGTGAAAGCTAGGCATGATGACATTTTATTGATTTTGGATTTGTGGATTCTTGATCTAGGTGTACCTAGGGACTAAAAAGGATCGGAATCTCTTGAAGACATATAAGTAACTTGTGCAACAAGTAAGCGTATTGGTAAAGCTTCAAGAGGTAAGCTCTATGTTTAAGGAGTCTTTTCCTGCTTGAGTGCTCCACCATGGTTAGTGAACTATGGTTGGACTGTATGACTGTGATTTAGATGCTTTGTATAGATGCATTCATATAGAGTTATTTGATAACATGATATCTTTTGCTCTGATATGACTTCTGTAATATGATTTCTGTAACAATCTATGGCCATTGATTGTATAGTACCCGGACGTCCGCTTTGGGGTCCTCCCTCGGGACTGATGGTGTACGCCTCTGATATGTTTGGTTCCGCTTTGGGGTCCTCCCTCGGGAACACGTGCGTTGATTTCCGCTTGGGGTCCTCCCTTGGGAATGACGGCGCACATCTCTGGTATGATATGGATATATGCTCTGTTCTGTTATGATATCTGTTATATGTTGTATTCGTATACTTTGTATCTGACTTTCATGCAGGAGTGAGCCAGGGGTATGGAGAATTCTCTATAAACCTGGAACTTATTGAGATTTGTAATCTCACCCCTCTTTGGGGACATATTTTCAGGTGCCCAGATTCCCGGTGAGTCCTCACTAGGCAGGGACACGACACGTGGCTGAGGCAGTTGACAGATCGGATTTTGAGTGGCTGTAGGCTACTACCTTTTTGGAGTGTTTGATGTCTTTTAGTATTTTCGCATTTGATGGATCATGATATTGATCCTTTATTTTGTATATGGCCTGTATATGTTTTGTACATGTCTGTCGCTTTGATGCATGTACATTTGGGTATTCAGGCACGTTATATGATGATGTATTATTCAGATATGTTTACGTGTTGGATTGCATGCTGTTAGATATAGTGGCATTGAGCCAAGTTATGCATGCGCCCATGAATGGGCATTTGATTATATTTGTATAAACTGTTTATCAGGAAATGCTTCTGTGTGGAATTGGAAAATCCCCAGTTGTCTGATTTATAGAGGAAACTCTGCCCGATTTTCGTTTACGACGAATGAGAATTTAAAAAGAAAAAGAAAAAGTTAGCTCGTATTTTCAGAAGTTAAGTCTTCCGCTGTTTTCTGTTTTATCATATGTATGTTAATTGCACCGGCTCGAGACGGGGATGTTACAGAAGCTGCAGGAGCCTCTGATGGCAAGTGGCCTTATTTGCAGTAGATCATGCATGAAGAAAATGATGTTTTGAGATCATACATGTTATTTTGTAGATTTACATGTATAGGATTGATCATTGATAGCATTGACGTATGTATATCTCGTTATATTTGATGGACTTAGCCTATGATCATGCCATTGGATATCTCTTTTGTTGATGAGAGCCAAGGGATGGTCATAGCCTTTTGTAGCTAAGTTCCCCGTTATGTAATTAAACTTGTGTTAATGTTATTTACTTCAAGGTTATGAATGCATGATGAATATTGGAAATGTTGAGCTGAATTGTCTATTAAGAGCTAAGTTGTTAGATTGGGAAACGTTGAGAAAACAAAGGTTATGCTGCCCAATTTCCGTTAAATCAATGATGAGAGGATGCGAGTTAAGCAATGATATAGGGATATTGCAAGCTTGTTAAATAGGTTGTAAAATGTGTAGGATTGATTCCCCGAGAAAGATACATGAAAAATATGAGTTTAGGAAATTGCCCAGAAGAGGGGGCTTAAGCCTGCAAATGGAGGCTTAAGCCTGCTTAGGGGGCTTAAGCGCCCATGAGGGGGCTTAAGCGCCCTGATGCACCTGTGAAGACCAAAAGCTCTCTGCCGCCTGGGGCTTTAGCGCCCAAAATGGGGGCTTAAGCGCCCAGATAGAGCGCTTAAGCGCCCTTGGTGGCCAAAAAATGTGAATTCCCTCTGTCTGTGGGCGCTTAAGCGCCCTGCCCGCGTAGTTTTTGAGTTAGTAAAATTGTCATAACTTGAGCTACAGAGCTCCAAATGAGGAGCGGTTTGAAACCACGCGTAGCTAACGAAGAGATCTACAATATAGTAGAAGTTGTGAAATAAATAAGAAGTAAATTAATGGTTTAAAAATGGAATAAGAACATGATGTTAAGCTTGGTTTATCTGATTCCGCAAAGTAATATGGTTATGATCACGCAATTGGGCATTATAAATTCGGCATGTTTTGAAATGAAAAATTTAACCGGATTTTAATTGAACCCATGTGATTGTAACTGCGCTTAATATCATAATGCGATGTCAACAAACCGGTTCTAGAACGGGGTGTTACAGGTGACCTCCTGGGAAGTTTTTTCGAGAAGTGTGCGAGTGAGGAAAAAACACACTGAAAAGTTTCGTGTTAATATGTGGGGATAGTCATTGATTCTTGAAGCGGTCAGGCGTTACATAAATAATTGATGACCCGGTGAAAAAAAAAAAAAAGAGCTTTGATAATTTTCCACAGCACGAGACTGTCTGAATAGGATTTGATTATTAAATTAGTATATTACCCTTTGATATATTCTTAAAAATGATATTTAAAGCAAAGGTGCATAAACATCAAACGGTAGAAATAAATAAGTTTAACTAATTAAGGTGCTTTTGCAATGTCACAAATACGAGTTGCACTGCTTGGAAACTTAGTACCCAAAATGAAATTAGTGTCACATAAAGAATGTGGGAATTCCCGAATAAAGACTACTTGTTTATAAACAGCTGATTCCTAGTATCAATCCATGCCATAATAAGTGCAAAAACTCAGATGCTATGAAGGGATACTTTCCTAAAAGTAAGGATTATGGGTTGCCACTTGCCACTTGCCAGTAAGGTCCTTCAACCTTCATAAAAGTTAACTTTAGATCTCTATTATATTGTTCAGAGTTCAGAGACAAGGAAAATAATTTATTTTCTTCTTTTTATGAGCTTTGTACGTGAGTCACTTACTCACTTTAGGAACCCAAAATTATTTAATAACCATTACCTGCATAATGGTTCAAAAGCAAAAGCCAACAAACTTTGACAGAAAAGGGAGGGGGGAAAGCAAATTAATCAAATCAGCTGAATTGGACTTAACATTGATTTAGTTTGACCCGTTTAAGTGCTTTATTAGCATAGTTGAACTAATATGTTAACCAAAAGAAAAAAAAAAAGAATTAATAAATCAAATCAGCTGAATTGGACTAAATATTATATCATTTTAAACATATTTTTTTATCTAGTTTAAACAATCAGGACTAAACATAGCTACTTTAAACATAGTTTTTAGAGTCTTTTTTATCTTTAAAAAAAAAAAAAAAGCAGTCTGTTGAATATTCGCTAATCTTTCATCGGATCATGTTACTTAAATCCTCCCATTTCTTACAAAATGACAAAAATTCCTCCTCAAGCCAACTCGGCAAAAAAAAAAAAAAAAAAAAAAATGAATTGAAAAAAGCAAAGAAAAAAGAGAAATAGATGTAACAGTGTTTTTTTTTTTTTTTGGTAAACAGATGTAACAGCTTTTTTATTATTACATGAAAATTAGCCTTTTGCCTTTTATCTCTACACCACCAACTGGTAAGGAATTCAGATCTGAATGATTATTTTATCTCTTCGCAAATTATATATTGGTTTGTTTTTTTAATTAATATTAATTTGTCTCTGTCTGATGAAAATTTATATCAAATTAAATGACTTATTTGAATAAGAATTGGTCAAACTTTGATAATCAATATATAATTTTAAAAAAGACAAATTGATATATAATTTTAAAAAAAATGTTAAAAAATAAAATAAGAAAAGGGCAAAATTGCCAATCTCACAAGAATTGAGAGTGCTTAGCAACTCCTCCATTTTCATGGTGCATAAAGGAATTCGTCAAAAACAGTGTCACAATTGTAGGGTTACTTTTTTATTGATGGGTAACGGCAGAACAGAGGTTTGCAGAAACTAGTAATTCAGAATGTGACAAACGGAAGTCTTCAAGTGCTGCCATCAATGTACGATAGCTGTAAAATTTAGCATAGGAAAATGGTAAAGCCTTATTCAATAAGGACAACAACAAAAAAAAGTGTAAAATCTTCCGGGAAATGAGTGCCATTATAGTCTATACCTTTCAAACCGAAAGAGTTAATTGTGTTGGACATTGGACTTGAAGAAACCTTAATCCAAGTACTTAAATCTACTCACACAAAGAAAGCCTCTCACACTATTATTTTGCCTCTTTCAAACATGGGACGTTTCATTAAACTCCTCAATTTCTCTCTTTTTTGGTTCTCCACTTTACTCACTTTTTTCTCCTCAATTTCAATCTCTGCAGATACCTTAACATCAACCCAAATCCTCAAAACCAACCAAACCCTCTTGTCACCAAAGGGAATTTTCGAGCTGGGTTTCTTTAATCACACACAATTCACTTGGTACTTGGGCATACGATACAACACCATTGATGTCACAACAGTGGTTTGGGTAGCAAACAGAGACACCCCACTTGAGAATTCCACTGGATTTCTCAAGATAGGTGAAAGGGGAAACATCGTTATCATGGATCAGTCCGAGAAACCCATATGGTCCTCGAATCAATCCACAACAGCTATCAACCCTGTTCTTCAGCTTTTGGATTCTGGGAACTTGATTCTCAGAGAAGAAAAAGAGAATGACCCCACAAAGTTTCTATGGCAAAGCTTCGATTACCCAACAGATACCCTTTTACCCGGTATGAAACTGGGGTGGAACTTAGACACAGGCATGGAGAGGCACATAACCTCGTGGAGGATCAAAGATCAAGACCCTTCAAGTGGAGATTTTTCTTTCAAGCTAGATCACCAAGGCCTCCCAGAAATCTTCCTGTGGAACAAGGATGAGAAAATATACAGAAGTGGACCTTGGAATGGTGACAGATTCAGTGGGGTACCAGAGATGCAACCCGTTACAGATTCTATTAAATTTATGTTTTTTGTTGATGAACATGAAGTGTACTACACATTCTCAATTGGGAACCAATCCTTGTTTTCGAGACTCTCTGTGAGTCCTGTAGGGGAACTTCAACGACTTACATGGATCCAAAGCAGCAAACTTTGGAACAAATTCTGGTATGCACCAAAAGATCAATGTGATAATTACAAAGAGTGTGGTCCCTATGGTGTATGTGACACAAATGCTTCACCGGTTTGCCAGTGTGTCAAAGGGTTCCACCCCAAGAACCAGCAGGCATGGAATTTGAGAGATGGGTCAGATGGGTGTGTGAGGAACACGAAATTGGAGTGTGGGAGTGACAAGTTTTTGCATTTGAAGAATGTGAAGTTGCCAGAGACAACCACTGTGTTTGTGAATAGGAGCATGAACCTTAAGGAATGTGGAGATTTGTGCTATAGTAATTGTTCCTGCACTGCTTATGCTAACATCGAGATCACTAATGGAGGAAGTGGTTGTGTGATGTGGGTTGATGAACTTATAGATATGAGACAGTATCCTGCGGGTGGACAAGATCTCTATGTCAGATTAGCAGCTTCCGATGTAGGTATGTTTTTTCTTCCACACTTCGTTTTTTTTGAATAAATATTTGCATTCTGGTTTTGATTTTCTTTTTCATATTCATATGCAAAAATTGTTTAAGAATTAAGACAGCATATGCATTAGGCTGATTGAATTTGATAATAATTCTTTATTTTTTTATTTTTTTAAAAAAAAATTAAGACAGCATATGCATTAGGCTGATGTGATTTCAGAATTTTGTGGAATTCATGTTGATAAAACTTCGCAAATGTGTGAGTCACTTGAGAGAATATTCCAACTCGTGTTTTGAGAACTAATCTGTCTTGTGCTTAAATCTGGATGGTCATAGCAGGACTCATCTGTCATGTTGAAAATGAGAATTATTCACATATTTAATAATAAAATAATAACTTTTTTATTGAGTCATCTAGCATTCAAGTTTTTAATGTGTTATAACAAGTCTTTAATCAAAAGAAAATTTTATTCTTTTATTGAGTCATCTAACATTCAAGTTTTTAATGTGTTATAACAAGTCTTTAATCAAAAGAAAATTTAAATAAAATATTATAAGAAAAATTATACATGACGACATGAGATTCACTGTACCCAAAAAAATAAACTGTTTTCTTCACATACGTAATATTTTAGGGAAAAAAGTTCAGAAACTAAGAACTATTTTTTCATAATGAAATAATAGTTTCAGAACATTGAAGTGGACTGAAACTAATTGGTTTAGGTTTTTGGAATGTAATGAGTTGGAAAATTGGGGTTTTTTTGTTTTTTGCTTGGTGGTCCCTTTTTTGAGCGTTTTGCAATGGGAGGAACTGACTGAGATGTAGCATGTCACGTGAGTGAGGCCAACGCAACGCAAGTAGAAGAAACGAATGGCAACAAAGCCAAAACGTGTGTTGCGTTGTGCTCAGGCCGCAGCTGCTCCACGTGCTCTTCAATGTTTCGGGTCCCATTGCTCACAAAATATTCATTATTACTCATGTAATTAGTTTTATATCTTTTTATTAAATTAAAATGAATAATCAATAACTGTAGTAATCTCTGTCATATAATATATATATAGGCACAAAAAAATATACCTTAACGATGAGAAAATCATAACCATTTTGTCCGGTACAATACATGAGTGAGGCAGCATATTATGCACAAAGAAAGATTGAAAATCTAAAAATCTCACTTTAGAGATAGAGGAAAATTACCCTTTTATATAGCTATGATAACCGGCCCATAACATAGAAATGATGAGGCCATTCCAAAACAAACAGCTACCCTAGATACAATAAGCTCAAGACGACGAATCTTGCTCTACCTGCCAAATTGACTAGCCTTACCAACCAAGAATGCACCATCACTGTCTCGAGGAACAACTTCAATGCCTCGAACATTATTCTCCAAAGACATAGTAATATCAACATTTAGCTTCACCGTCCCTATGCTAGGATTTCTTGTGAGGGGCAAAATTATATATATATATATATATATATATATATATATATATATATATATATATATATATTTCTACAGTCACTTTAGATAAGTTTATCTACCGCTATCGTTTGTAACTTTGTTCTTCCGGAAGAACATAATTGTAATATTAAAAGTTGCTTTTTTTTCTCTCTCCTCATTTACTTTTCAGAACCTGTCTGCAGACGTGGAGAGAGAGAAAAAAGTAACTTTAATGTTATAACTATGTTCTCCCGGGAGAACATAGTTATAAACGGTAGCTGTAGATAAGCTTATCTAAAGTGGCTGTATAAATGTTTATCCTTATATATATGTATAAATGTTTATCCTTATATATATATATATATATATATATATATATATATATATGAGGTAGGATCCTTTGACACCGGTGTCAAATTTGAAGTTTGACACCTCATCTGAGAGTTGTTAGATCAAAAAAAGATCAACGACTCTGATTTGTAAGCATGTGACACCATTGATCTTTTTTGATCTAACAACTCTCAGATGAGGTGTCAAATTTTAAATTTGACACCGGTGTCAAAGGATCCTACCTCATATATATATATATATATATATATATATATATATATATATATATATATATATATATTAAGGGTTTAATATCTCATATATTGTACCAGATAAAATTATCTACTGCATACACATAAAAGTGTGTGAGACCCATATTTTCTTTTTTTTCTCTTCTCTTCACATTGCCCCACATGGGCCCCACATATTTTTATATGTATGTAGGAAATAATTTTATCTCCTATAACATGAGAAACATCAAACTCATATTTTAAAAGTGACATACCTACCTTTTTTAAGTCTATTTTATCTATTTTTTTCTTCATATTATTAGATCGTAATCTCAACTAGAAGAGAGAAAATTGATTGAGATTGCGAATTATCAGTATGGAGAAAAAAATAAACAAAATATCATATTCTATTTTAAAATTCATAATTAAAATAAAATATTATATAATTAAATAAAAATACTCACAAAGCATAAATCACAATATAATATAACATAATATATTAATTTTTCCTGGGTTATGATTTGTTTTTAATTTAGAATTGGATAAGATTTCTTTTCTCCAAATTTTCTTCCATAACAAAAATATTTTTTTTAATAATTTGAAATTGAAACGGTAGTATAAATTATACATGAGTAGTTAATTAAATTTAAATTTGTCATTATACTAAAATAATATTGAATTTATTAGATACCATCTCTCATTAAAATAAATTATTACTACTTATTATCTCGCAAACCAACACAGATGAACTACCTTCCAAACTTTAGAGCGAAGGTTGATTGATGAAGCCAACTAAACTCGCATAAACAGCTGTTAGTTGGCGAGAAAAATAAGGGCGTAAACTGCATGACTGCAGTGTCCCTTTCCCTTCCCTTGCCTTGATTTGTTGCGTGAGTTAATGAGATTAAATACTTAATTAGAGGACTTTATTAAAGCTGTGTGGGCCCACTCTAAAGGTTTAGGTTCTCCTAAATTGCTGTTTGGGATGGTGGTATGGGCCCTCTGAATTTAAATGTTCGGCTCTGAATTGATGAGTCCTGGGCCAACCTTTTTGACTTGTGAGGTTTCCATGGGCCATTCCTACTGCTCTTTTTTTATTTTTTCTTTTACTATATGCTTGCCTTTGCACCATGGATGCAAAGGATATAATTGTTCATGTGCTCTTTTATGTTTCATATGTTTTTACAAAGAAGATTTTGCATTTATTCTGTATGATATAATTTTCCCATTTATTGTTATCTAAACTAAATTAAATAGTGGATTTTAATAGCTGTACCACATGTATTAATAATGTACTCAATAATTTGACCGCCATAATAAATGCACATCATAACAATAACACGCATGATCCTATTGGAGTTTAACAAAAAGTAAATTGAGTTAAGAGAAAATAGGGGGAAAAAAGGTTAGTGATTAATGAAAGAGGAAAAATGTTTGAATCATCTTCTGGGCGACCATGGAATTGGTAAGGATAGTAGGGATTTGGTGAATAAAATGGAGCCCACCAACCGAATGAGGGATTTTTAAACCATTTTGGTTGGAGTAGGCGCCCTCAAAAAGTTGCTTGTCTTCCTCAAACGGGATAGAGTCCATCAAATTCTATAAACCAAACAAAATCTCTCTCTTATTTTTTCTTCATTGCCTTTTTGTGACTGATTTTTTATTAGAAAAATCCATGATTAAATATGATAGTGGGTTTGATTATAAAAAAAGGACAACAATGAAAAAGTAAGACCCATTTGAATTTAGTTGGTCCACCTTCTCTAGGTTCTTGAGCAAAATCATATTGCTAATTTGACGCATGATCCCTTTTGTTGCTTAAATTCCATGCAAGCACCATGAATGTTCCATTGTACTTCTTAAAAATAATGATATCACTTTTTTTTTTTAATGAGCTTTTTGGTTTCTTTTTAATTGGTTAACTTGAAAGTGTGACATGCCTTTATGTCAACACTAATTTACTTGCTTACTTTGTACTTGCACATCTTTAATGCTAGAAAACTTTTTCTTGTAACAATTAGACCAAACGTAAAGTGCATATCTTAACTAAAAAAACTGTTTCTCTCATATGACATAGGCTATGGAGGTGATTCTGACCAAAAAAATGATACAGCTAAAGCTGTAGGCATCATAATTGGTGGTACAGCTTTTATACTTTTGGCATTATTGGGTACATGTTTCTTATGGAAGAAGAGGAAATTGCAATGCTTATTGAAATGGAAGACTAGACAAAGAGGTAATGCACAATTAATGTCTCATATATGATTGCATATGGTATATATAACTGTGCAGGGAGATGAAATGTTTTGCTTCTTGTCCCTAAAACAGGCTTTCCTGAAAGAAGTCAGGATTTGCTAATGACTGAGGTGTTTTCAAGTAACAGAGAACAGTGTGGTGAAAACATGGACGACCTAGATTTGCCATTGTTTGATTTTAGTACCATAACAATGGCTACAAACAACTTCTCTGAAGAAACTAAACTTGGACAAGGAGGCTTTGGTAGTGTTTACAAAGTAAGTTTTTTTTTTTTGTAACTGCCACCACAATAAATTCTAAGAAACACTTATTATCAATTAAAACATAACAGGAATAATTGTGGTTATACCAGGGCAGGTTGATGGAAGGTCAGGAAATTGCTGTGAAGAGACTATCAAAAAATTCTGGTCAAGGTATAGAAGAATTTAAGAATGAGGTAAAGTTAATTGTGAAGCTTCAACATCGAAATCTTGTTCGGCTGCTTGGTTGCAGCATTGAGATGGATGAGAAAATGCTAGTGTATGAGTATATGGAAAATAGAAGCCTTGATGCCATTTTGTTTGGTGAGTTATATTAACAATATGTATTCTTAAGTTTCATTAACATTTTCTTTTCAAATGTTTGGCCAATTCAGGCCTCATTGTGTATTTAATTACTGATATTTATAATAAATATGATCCAGACAAAGCAAAAAGATCCTCATTGAACTGGCAAAGGCGCTTCAACATTATATGTGGAATAGCTAGAGGGCTTCTTTACCTTCACCAAGATTCCAGATTTAGGATCATCCATAGGGATCTCAAGGCAAGTAACATTCTGCTTGACAAAGATATGAACCCAAAGATATCAGATTTTGGGATGGCTAGAATTTTTGGTGCGGATCAGACAGAAGCAAATACAATAAGAGTTGTTGGAACATAGTGAGTACCAACATAACACATCAGTACTCTTCTAAAAAAACCATACATAGTGACCTTACTATTTATAAATATTTTTCTTATGTGCAGTGGATATATGTCTCCTGAATATGCTATGGATGGGATCTTCTCAGTGAAATCTGATGTTTTTAGTTTTGGGGTTCTTGTTCTGGAGATCATAAGTGGAAAAAAGAACAGAGGGTTCTATTACACAAACAAAGAATTGAATCTTCTAGGGCATGTATGTGGAAGTGTTGCTTCTATTATAGTGTTTTACTTGGTAATAATATTATCTCATGTTTGCTAACAAATAATTGATTGTGCTTTCTTGTAGGGGTGGAAGCTGTGGAATGAAGGAAATGCATTGGAACTGATTGATTCATCCATTGACAATTCATATTCACCATCTGAAGTTCTTAGATGCATACAAGTTGGGCTCTTATGTGTGCAAGAGCATGCAGAAGATAGACCAACAATGTCTTCAGTGGTCTTGATGCTGAGCAGTGAAACTGCACCATTGTCACAACCCAAAATTCCCGGGTTTTGCCTAGGCAGGAATCCTATCGAAACTGATTCTTCTTCAAGTAAACAAGATGAATCATGTACTGTGAACCAAGTCACTGTCACAATGCTAGATGCCAGGTAGTGAAAGAAATATGGCCTCATCTAGCACATTAGTATATTCACAAAAAGTTTTAAAAATTCTTTTTAAGTTTTCCTTCATTTTTATAGTTGGAACATCGTTGAGATCTAGTAGGATCTTGTTTTGGTGTAATATGCTAAAGATGCCTTCATTAAATTATACTATATAGTTTAAGATACTCTCTATTGATGAAATTCAGTTTCATTATGCACTCACATTGTTTTTCTCTTTGTTTTTCAGTTTCAGGATTAAGACATCATTATTTAAAACTAATAGGGAACATATATTTTTTGCGTTTCCACATTTCATAATTAGGGGAAACTATTACACTTTGCGCGGAAACATTAGGAACACGAGGATTAAAGAGTTATAATTGGAAGTCTAATGAAGCGATGATCCTTGATCAATTAGATGCATTTTCTATCAATTCCAATGCATTCCCTTCTTTCCAAAGCCTCCATGCGGCCTACTATCACAACGCACAATAGATTTCTAGTATAATATTGCTTGCCTTGAGATCCCTGTGAATAATTCTAAGTCTGGAAAGATAAAGAAGCCCTCTGGCTATTTATCATACCTAGCACAAGAATTTAAAAATATATTCGAACCCATTTATCATGAAAACAGTTTTCCACCTTTGATGTTCGAAGGGGAATCCAAGCAGAATTTTCACGTGACAAAAGCACCCGGAAGGGAGTTTGAGTTTAATAATTGCTCCTTATCACCCCTGATTTTACATTATCGCTTTGAATGGAGTAATATGTGTATTATTATTTATCACAGACAATATTTGTAGCAAACCTTAGTGATGTTCAATTCACAAAACTAATGTCATAAAATAGCCTACCATACCTCCACATACAATTCTGAGAGCCTTCGCCTTTAGCGAGGTTCGAGCAGAGTCATAGTTACCCTATTTACTGAATAAATTCCTTCACTGGTTGATGGATTTGAACTCTCATAATTACTTCTCTTGAAAATAAATGCTGGGTGCTTTGGAGTAGGAAGAGTTGAGTCACTACCCAACATGGAAACAACTGCTGACATAGATGGCCTGTCTACAGCATAATCTTGTACACATAAAAGCCCAATTTGTATGCATCTTTGGATTTCATGGTCGGAACATGACTCTCCTAATGATTCATCAACAATCTCTATGGCTTTGCCTTCTCTCCATAGATCCCATATCTACATTAATTGAAGTTACAAGATTAATTAGACAATTGAAGGGTATACTTGAATTGGGGCATAGTTTCTTATAAATACTGACATGTCCAACTAAAGTCGTGGATGTAATGTCATCATGTTGACCACTATTCTTTCTGCCTGTAACAATTTCTAGAAGTAAAACTCCGAAGCTGTATACATCAGACTTTATCGAAAATTGTCCTTCCATGGCATATTCTGGGGACATATAGCCACTACAAAAGCAAAAACATAAATGAAATCACTAAAACTTAACAGTAATCATGTGAAATTGTAGCAGACAAGGTGTATTATGTTCTGTCTGAGTAGCTTTTCAATTATTATAAAGATCTAAGTAACATATGTGTATTGTTGAGTACTTACTAGGTTCCAACAACACGATTTGTGTTTGCTTCAATTTGGTCTCCACCAAATATTCTAGCCATACCAAAATCTGCAATTTTTGGGTTCAATACAGAGTCCAGCAAAACATTGCTGGCCTTTAGGTCTCTGTGAATGATTCTTAATCTTGAATCGTGATGAAGGTATAAGATCCCTCTAGCAACCCCACAGATGATATCAAATCGTTTTTTCCAGTCTAGCTGTAACCTTTTAGATTCATCTGGACAAAAAATTTGTGGTATCACAGTGAAGCACGTTGGTTCAATTGTTAAGTAATTTGATGTATGAAAAAGTGACTATAAATGGTTAGGAAGTGACAAGGCTATATGTCCAAAGCAAAAGCTAAAGTACTAATAAAGCAGAGGTGAAAACAGAACATACCAAAAATAAAAAAGTCCAAGCTTTTATTTGGCAAATACTCATAGATTAACATTTTCTCCTCTCCTTGAATGCAGCAACCCAAGATCCTCACAAGATTTCTGTGTTGGAGCTTTGAAATCAAAACAACCTCGTTTTTAAACTCTTCTATACCTTGTCCAGAATATCTTGACAATCTCTTCACTGCTATTGCCACTCCGTTACTCAGTAGACCCTGAATTCATCATCCAAAGTGACTTTCTTAATTAGTTTGCATTTAAAGGTGACATCGGTACAATGCATTAAAACCGGTTCTAAATGTTATTCAATTTCGGACTTGTTAAAGAAGAATGGGTACCTTATAAACAGAGCCAAAACCACCTTGACCAAGCTTGTTAGCAATAGAGAAATTGTCTGTTGCAGCAGCTATGGAGCTCAGATCAAAGAATGGCAAATCTGAATTTTGCGTACGGTCAAATTCTTGTAGATTGGGAGAGTCATCCAAACTAAGACGAAAGGAATATTTGCGATCCCTTCTTATCCCTATGATCAAAAATATGAAAATAATACATTTGAACAAGTTAATAGAACTAAGAATCACACAACGACAAGTTTGAGAAGAATTTAACTTACTTTGTTTCCTGGCTTTTACAAACCAATACACAAAAGTCAACCCCAAAAACAATAACAAGCAAACAGCAACGGCTAAAATCGCCACCTTCCCCTTCTTGCCAAGAGAACCATGCGGATTTTTTGCATATTTAGCTGCAAAGTCCAAATGCAAAGATATCATAACTAGAAGAAAAAATAAACAAACAAATCAAGTATATACAATAATTAAAGGGTTCCATTTTTTAAAAATTATCTCATGAAAAATAATAATAACATTACGAGTAATACATAGTTATTTTTTTTAATAAGATAATTACTTTCTAACAACATGAAAAAAGTATTTTCGATAATTAAAATAGTAAAAGTAAAAAAAAAAAATGAAGTTTAAGAATAAAAAAGTTATTATTATGTACTCTAATAACAAGACAATTAACAAGACAGTATATAATTAGTTCATAAAATATTTAATATATTATTCTAAGAATTTATTTTCCTACCTAATTCGAGTGCATCGACACGTACATACAAATTTTGTCCCAATTCTGTGTATTTTCTCGTATCCTCCATGTTACCATGCCAAGTAACACACCCACTCTCGGAGCTCTCATTTTCAGTTGTATACGCTGCACATGAACAATCCCTCAAGCATTTATCACTGCACTCTTTCTTGCTTAGCATCGCATCCACACGCGCCTTTGAAGTATCTGGCACCTTCACAGGTGCCACCTTCACAAACCCTTCTCCGCTTCGACAAGTGGACACGTTGCGCTTCCTAACGCACCCACCCGACCCGTCTCTGAGATACCATTCTCGCCCGAACTTGGGTTCGAACCCGGGTAAACACTCGCACTCAAACTTGTCCGCGTTGTACGGGTCACAGTTCGTGTTCGACCCGCACTGCCTGAAGTTGTCACATTCCTCCTTCGGAGCATACCAGATTTGGAACCATCTATTCTCACGAGGTTGCCATGTCATCCTTCTCACGTGACCCGTTTCTTCCAGCACCATTCTAGAGAAAACAGTGGGGTCCTTCACCTCATACATTATGGAAACTTCATCTGCATTGTCGATGTAGGTAACGTTGAAGATGAAGATCGGAGTCATCTCGGGTACCCCGCTCCATCTCTGACCCGTCCACGACCCGGTTCGCCAAACTGGAGCTTTATTCTTGTACAGGAACAGCTGGGGAAACCCGGTCGGGTCGATTCTGTATGTCAAGTTCCCGGATCCTGGGTCATTCGGGGACTTCCACGATGTCAGGAACCGGTCCAACCCTGTTTTGCGGTCCAACCCGAGCTTCATCAACGGAAGCAGAGTGTTACTGGGATAATCAAAACTCTGCCACTGAACGTTGTTGTTGTGGTTGTTGTTATTGTTTTGGATCAAAACAATGTTTCCTGTGTCTAAAAGCTTAGCTGAAGCGTTGCTAGATGAGGTGGAAACGTTTGTGGACCAAACTGGGTTAAGGTATAGGTTCATGTCGCGGTGGTGGTGGAGTACGAGGTTTCCGTGGTTGTTGATGGAGAGAACACCGGAAGTGTCATTCAGGGGAGTGTCTCTGTTAGCAACCCACACAATTGTTTGTTCTGAAATTTTGTTGTACCAAATCCCAACGTATCTGCTTGTAGAATTTCCCATGCTGAAGAACCCAAGTGCAAAGTTTCCTCTGTTGTTGGAAACCAAAATGTCGCCGTCTTTCATGGGGTGGTTTGGGGTTATGGTGTCAAGTGAGTGGCAACAACGGTAAAGGAGCAACAATAGAAAAAATGTACTCATAAGCACTTTCATGGTGTTGCAATTCGTTCTCGGTTGGGAATGGTTTTTGATGGAATGGGCTGTTTTCTGTTGCTTGTTATTAATAAGGATGCTGATATTTATTGGTGAAGATTGATATGCATGAGTTGTTCAAGTCAGGTCCTACGTGTAAAGGGAGTGTGATTGACACACACAACTAATAATTGATTGGCTAGTAGTTGCTTGACATTAAAATGTTGGGCTTCTTATGTGGCTCAGCTAATGGACACATTACCAAAGTTCAGCCCATGCTTTAATTGCACCGTTTAATATAAGAAGATTATCTAACTCGAATGTTCATGAATCAAGCTCTATCATACCGAGTACAAGAATTAGTTAACTTTGGAGCTTGTCTCTGGCGCATCAGAGTGTTAAGACCGGAATCTTTTAAAAAACCAACCCATGTATTAAACGTTTTCATTAGGCCTTCAATTTACGACAGTGAAATACAGTGAAAAGACTGTCCAAACATTCACTTCATGGGACAGAAGAGTTTAAAAATAAAGTTACATGCATAAGAGTTGTTAGTCCAATGACAATCCAGCTGAACGCCAGACCTGCCTAAAGAATAAAGATAATGGGTTTGATTCCTGAAAGTCATAATTCTTCGGAGGATGGAGAAACTCATACGTAAAATCGGATTATGCATTTGTAGGTTTGGATACTTTCGACAGAAGGAAGGGTGTTGGAAGATTGTAGGATAATAAAGAAAGATATAATAAGATAACAAATAAAGATGTAATATCTTATCCTAAATCTAATTTAGTTAGGATTGATGAGAAAAATAAGAATGATCCTTAATATAACTTAGAATTATATTTGTTATTAAACTCTTTGTATCAAATTCTATTTAAAGATAAATGGTATTCCTCTTAGAGTATCAAGAAAGGGGAGAGTTTTTTAGTGAGGATGTAGGTCTGACTGAACCTCAAAAATTATTATGCTTTGTGCATCGTGCGTGTTTTTTATTTTTCAGTTTCTTAACAGAGGGCCTTGGATATGGTTGATTCAACTATAGGCCAGACTTATCCTCTTGCTTTAGTTCAGAGGTGCATTCAAATTGGACCTTTTTGCGTGCAAGAAAATGCCATCAGTAGACCATCCATGTTAGAAATTTCTTCATGCTAGGCAATGAAACACTTCTTTGCCTACCACAAAAGCTAGCATTTTTATTCAATGGTGAACAAAATTTGATAGAATCATCAATATCGGGAGGAAGATCTTCAATAATTAACAGCACCTACCACTAGTTCTCGCTAAAAGCTATCTCAAAAATGTATTTGGCTCATACTTTTCCATCAAATGTGAGTACGGTAGTACTTTTGAAGTTTGGGGTGCTTAAGAAGCTTTCTGTGAATAAGAACTTTTTACATCCTCCCCAATAGTTAATAGGCTTCTAACTCTGGCTTTCTAGAAACTAAAGTATCTTAAAATCACTTTGCACTATATGGTTTAGTAAAATAAATAGCCTACCATACCTCCACATACAATTCCGAGAGCCTTGTCCTTTAGCGAGCTTCGATCATAGTCATGCTTACATCATTTACTGAACAAATTCCTTCACTTGTTGATGGATTTGACCTCTCATAATTACTTCTCTTGAAAATAAATGCTGGGTGTTTTGGAGTAGGAAGAGTCGAGTCACTACCCAACATGGAAACAACTGCTGACATAGATGGCCTGTCTACAGCATAATCTTGTACACATAAAAGCCCAATTTGTATGCATCTTTGGACTTCATGGTCGTAACATGACTCTCCTAATGATTCATCAACAATCTCTATGGCTTTGCCTTCTTTCCATAGATCCCATATCTACATTAATTGAAGTTACTAGATTAATTATACTTTTGAAGGGTATATTTGAATTGGAGCATAGTTTCTTATAAATACTGACATGTCCAACTAAAGTCGTGGATGTAATGTCATCATGTTGACCACTATTCTTTCTGCCTGTAACAATCTCTAGAAGTAAAACTCCGAAGCTGTATACATCAGACTTTATTGAAAATTGTCCTTCCATGGCATATTCTGGGGACATGTAGCCACTACAAAAGCAAAAACATAAATGAAATCACTAAAACTTAACAGTAATCATGTGAAATTGTAGCAGACAAGGTTCTCAGTACGAATTATTTACTTATTATGTTCTTTCTGAGTAGCTTTTCAATTATGATAAAGATCCATGTAACATGTTTGTATTGTCGAGTACTTACTAGGTTCCAACTACACGATTTGTGTTTGCTTCAATTTGGTCTCCACCAAATATTCTAGCCATACCAAAATCTGCAATTTTTGGGTTCAATGCAGAGTCCAGCAAGACATTGCTGGCCTTTAGGTCTCTATGAATGATTCTTAATCTTGAATCGTGATGAAGGTATAAGATCCCTCTAGCAACTCCACAGATGATATCGAATCGTTTTTTCCAGTCTAGCTGTAACCTTTTAGACTCATCTGGACAAAAAATTCATGGTATCACAGTGAAGCACGTTGGTTCAATTGTTAAGTAATTTGATGTATGAAAATGTGACTATAAATGGTTAGGAAGTGACAAGGCTATATGTCCAAAGCAAAAGCTAAAGTACTAATAAAGCAGAGGTGAAAACAGAACATACCAAAAATAAAAAAGTCCAAGCTTTTATTTGGCAAATACTCATAGATTAACATTTTCTCCTCTCCTTGAATGCAGCAACCCAAGATCCTCACAAGATTTCTGTGTTGGAGCTTTGAAATCAAAACAACCTCGTTTTTAAACTCTTCTATACCTTGTCCAGAATACCTGGACAATCTCTTCACTGCTATTGCCACTCCGTTACTCAGTAGACCCTGAATTCATCATCCAAAGTGAATTTCTTAATTAGTTTGCATTTAAAGGTGACAGCGGTACAATGCATTAAAACCGGTTCTAAATGTTATTCAATTTCGGACTTGTTAAGGGAGAATGGGTACCTTATAAACAGAGCCAAAACCACCTTGACCAAGCTTGTTAGCAATAGAGAAATTGTCTGTTGCAGCAGCTATGGAGCTCAGATCAAAGAATGGCAAATCTGAATTTTGCGTACGGTCAAATTCTTGGAGATTGGGAGAGTCATCCAAGTTAAGACGAAAGGAATATTTGCGATCCCTTCTTATCCCTATGATCAAAAATATGAAAATAATACATTTGAACAAGTTAATAGAACTAAGAACCACACAGCGACAAGTTTGAGAAGAATTTAACTTACTTTGTTTCCTGACTTTTACAAACCAATACACAAAAGTCAACCCCAAAAACAATAACAAGCAAACAGCAACGGCTAAAATCGCCACCGTCCCCTTCTTGCCAAGAGAACCATGCGGATTTTTTGCATATTTAGCTGCAAAGTCCAAATGCAAAGATATCATAACTAGAAGAAAAAATAAACAAACAAATCAAGTATATACTCTCATAATAATTCAGTTAATATGAGAACATAGCTTTAGTGTATAACATAAATACTAGGTTGACAAGTAATCATCTAGTTTGTATTTATAACTGTTCACATAATTAATAAATTATAATTATTATTCTAATAAATTTTCATAACGAGTAAGAAAGTAGGTACCTAATTCAAGTGCATCCACACGTACATACAAATTTTGTCCTACTTGAGTGTATTTTCTAGTATCCTCCATGTCACCATGCCAAGTAACACACCCACTCTCGGAGCTCTCATTTTCAGTTGTATACGCTGCACATGAACAATCCCACAAGCATTTATCCCTGCACTCTTTCATGCTTAGCCTCTCATCCACGCGCGCCTTTGAAGTATCTGGCACCTTCACAGGTGCCACCTTCACAAACCCTTCCCCACTCCTACACGTGGACACGTTGCGCTTCCTAACGCACCCACCCGACCCGTCTCTGAGATACCATTCTCGCCCGAACTTGGGTTCGAACCCGGGTAAACACTCGCACTCAAACTTGTCCGCGTTATACGGGTCACAGTTCGTATTCGACCCGCACTGCCTGAAGTTGTCACATTCCTCCTTCGGAGCATAAAATATTTGGAACCATCTATTCTCATGAGCTTGCCACGTCATCCTTCTCACGTGACCCGTTTCTTCCAGCACCATTCTAGAGAAAACAGTGGGGTCCTTCACTCCATACATTACGGAAACTTCATCTGCATTGTCGATGTAGGTAACGTTGAAGATGAAGTTCGGAGTCATCTCGGGTACCCCGCTCCATCTCTGACCCGTCCACGAACCGACCCGCCACAGTGGAGCTTTATTCTTGTACAGGAACAGCTGGGGAAACCCGGTCGGGTCGATTCTGTATGTCAAGTTCCCGGATCCTGGGTCATTCGGGGACTTCCACGATGTCAGGAACCGGTCCAACCCTGTTTTGCGGTCCAACCCGAGCTTCATGAACGGAAGCATAGTGTTACTGGGATAATCAAAACTCTGCCACAGAACGTTGTTGTTGTTGTTGTTGTTATTGTTTTGGATCAAAACAATGTTTCCTGTGTCTAAAAGCTTAGCTGAAGCGTTGCTAGATGAGGTGGAAACGTTTGTGGACCAAACTGGGTTAAGGTATAGGTTCATGTCGCGGTGGTGATGGAGTACGAGGTTTCCGTGGTTGTTGATGGAGAGAACACCGGAAGTGTCATTCAGGGGAGTGTCTCTGTTAGCAACCCACACAATTGTTTGTTCTGAAATTTTGTTGTACCAAATCCCAACGTATCTGCTTGTAGAATTTCCCATGCTGAAGAACCCAAGTGCAAAGTTTCCTCTGTTGTTGGAAACCAAGACGTCGCCGTCTTTCATGGGGTGATTTGGGGTTATGGTGTCAAGTGAATGGCAAGAAGGGTGAAGGATAAACAGCGGAAAAAATGTACTTAGAAGCACTTTAGGGGGAAATATTTTCATGGTGTTGCAATTCGTTCTCTGATGCGAATCTTTTTTTTATGGAATGGACTAGTTTCATGGTGTTGCTTGTTATTTATGAGGATGATGATATTTATTGGTGAAGATTGATGTGCATGAGTTGCTCGAGTCAAGTCCTGCATGTAAAGGGAATGTGATTGACACACATAACTAATAATTGATTGGCTAGCTAGTAATTGCTTGACATTAAAAAGTAGGGTTTCTTATATTGGTAGTTGCTTGACATTAAAATGCAGGGTTTCTTATGTGGCTCTGCTAGCAGACACATCACAAATAGTTTATTTAGCCCCTGCTTTAATTGCACTGTTTATATAATAAGAAGATCTAACTTGAATGTTCATGAATATTCAAGCTTTATCTTGAGAAATCCATAAAACACTAGACACCTAAGGCCTAAGGGTATTTGGTTCACGTTGCTATCCTCGTGATCAGAAAAGAAGCAAGATCAGAAGGCCGAAAGAGGAAATTTATTATTAGGCTATAAGCTCACAATCTAAGGTTATAAAGTCTATAACATTTATTCAACAAAAAGTTTTCATTAGCTGAGATGTTAAGATAGATGATGAAGTATTTTACTTTTCTCAAATTTCGTTAAGTGCTGATCTATATTGCACCAACACTGATACGGAGCTTGGGATATGACATGACACGACACTTCGACACGTTAATTTTAAAAAATGTTAAACTCTGACACGTTAGGATACATTTTGATATTATATAATATTTTTAATTTATATATTGTATATTATATTTAGTATTCAATAATTTAACAAAAAAAAATTAAACTTATAATACTCATTAATTTTTCAAAGAAACATAATATATCCCAAATATTTATATTGAACTTAATAAAATTGTAATTTAACTAATCTAATAGTTGGAATTCAAAATACAACGCAATATAATATTTAAAACATTTTTTGAGTTTTTGTAATGAATATTGAAGTATCAAAAAGTGTTAAAGTATTGAAAAGTGTCAAATATAACATGTGAGAGTTTTAAAAATGTTTATGCCTCGTAAATATTCAATGTGTCACCTGACATGTTGGCGTCAACCCTTTAATCCCTTTATTTGGATTTGTTTTGCTAAAAGCATTTTTTTCACTTTCATTCATTACCGATAACAGTCTGAAAGACATGCCCCACTTGATTATATCCAGATTTCCAGCTGTACGAGTAGTCAATTAAATTACACACTTTTTGTTTATAGGAACGACTATTTTGATTGGAATGAATTGGGAATAAGTTTTTTTACCATATTTGTTATAGGAAACTTAAGAAATTCTTAGCGAAATTATTTTCTTAGCATTTGAGTTTGTAACTATATACTGGGAAAAAAAATATCCCTTCCTACCCATGTTATTTTTTTTCCCCTTGAATTTGGAATTTGATTTTTATGTTTTGAGATCAAAATGCCCTGTTGTAATATATGAGATATAATATTCAATAATGATGGGTAATTGATAAATTCGATTCACATTTCTTTCAATATTTTACAATCAATCAAATGTAGCATCAGTCAAATTAAACTTAATTTCCTAGCAATATTTTGAGCTACCAAACACCTTTTCGTTACTTTTTCAGACAAAATATTTTCTTACCATATTCATAGAAATCTTTTTTTTTCGATAAAAAAAATTATCGCTTATACCAAAAGCGCTATAAACTATCCTCTATCCCACAGTTTACCTACACGGCGGCACCTACTAATTTGGTTTCTTGGGCAACATCATAAGCATGGTATGGGCGTGTTTGGTAGGAGGGGAAAAAAATTGTCTAGGAAAAGAGGGTAAGGAAAAATATGTGGCCATATTTGGTAGGAGGAAGAGTTAAAAGGGGTATCAGAAAAAAAAATTCCCGTCTAGTTTTTTAACACATGGACCATTAGTGAAATTTTGCCATAGATGAGATGGAAAAAAAAGTTTCCTCGGCGATGGTAAAATTTTACACATAACATCATTAAAATTCATCCAATTTTTTCAAAAAAAATTTGACCTACCAAACAGTACTTTTTTAATTTACCCGACAAAAAATTCTTCCCACCATATTTGAAGCAAATTTATTTTCTTGATAACAAAAAGTTTATCCTGTACGAAACGCGCACTAAAATTCTAACACAGTTAAGCTGAAACGACCTCAATTGGTCTAATTGCTTGGTGGTTACACACAATGACGGACCCACGCCGGGGCAAATGTCCACACTTGCGGACATGAAAATTTTGATTTTTTTCTTCTTCTTCTTCTTTGTTGCGTGATGTTCCAAAGCACTCAGGCAAACAACACACTCCATCACAGAGCCACCATCAGCTTGCATATTCTTCAAGACTATGAACGTGGGCAGTGCCGCGATGATGGCGGGGTCAAGACCTGCGTTGGTTGGTTCCGTGTGATGATGATGATCAGCATTATGAGCCATGGTGAGGTTGAGTAGGTGAATGAAACCTCTAGGGCGAGATTGGCGTGCTAGGACACACAACCAGATGTAGATGGAAAATGAGAAGACGATAACCAATCAATGCCACGCATAAGCAAACAAGGGATATGAGAAATATTCTTCTGTTCATCTCACTGTCTTCCTCATTGCTAAGGAACACATCCATGGCTTTGTTATTGCCAGAGAGAAGGAAAAAGAGGGTTGCTTGTTTCTTGTGGAGATTGGTTTGGTTTATTATATGGAAAAAAATTTCTCCTTTTAAATGACACAACTAGTGTTATTTTATTCTCACAAAGAGATGTAATCTACATCTTTTATTTTATTTTTTGTCCATTTCATGTGAAAGTTATATCAAAATTTTTTTTGGGGGAGCTGCCCCCGAACCCCGCCACTAAATGTGCGGACATGAATTAATTTTTCTGAGTCCGTCACTGGTTACCCATTTCATTTTAAAATACTTCTATTTCTAAAATCCACGGTATGCTAAGAACACACATTGCAGTTCTCAACGGATTTGAGCTGCCTATCTTTGTTCTATCATAATCTGTCAAATAAATATATATATATATATATATATATATATATATATATATATATATATATATATATATATAATTAGGAAGTTTTTCAAACTATATACTATATATTCGAAGAAAAAAGGAAGACACATGGATTATCGTGGTTTAGTCATGGATTTACATCTGCACTGATGACTTTCTCCCTCTCACAATAATAAATATTAGAGGAGGGTTCTATATATAAGTCATTAGAATTGATTTAATGGTGAGGGATTTGGATAAATTATAGTAGGTTAGATATTCAATTTTTACTTATATCCACACACACACACAAAATTTAAAGCTTTAATCCTGAACTCGCTCCGAATAAGATTAGTTACGAAGCAAAGCAATGAATCAATTAAAATATTTTCAAAAAAATAAATAAAGGTTCTATTCCTTTTAATAGCAATGGGTACATAAATCAGCCTGATTATGAGTCCAATAATCATGGGAAAACAATATTTTCTTTCTATTTATATTACCAAGATTGGTGGCATAATTTAAGTTGACTGATTTCCCACAATTTTCTCCATATTTATCGTTCAAATCTTCAACACTGCACATCGGTGTCAACAGAAAGTTACAAAATTGAATATTCTATTCGTTTTTAAAATTTTAATTAAAACGAAAGAAAATAAACTTAAAATTTATAAAATGTTTTGATTTGTTTTTAAATATGCTAACTCCTTCATATTCCTCAATCAAAATTGAAAAGTCTAACGTCATTGTCAATTTCATTATTTTTACATGATAAGTCATTTTGTTTTCCCTTCTCATAAAACTACATAAATATGAAAGTTAGGGGACATAGGACTCGTTTGGATTAACTTTTTTTTCTCTAATTTTTTTTTTTAAGGAAAAAAACAGTTCTCAAATTAAATTCTTTTGGATATCTACTTTTACAAAAAATAGAAGTCACAAAAAAGTCAAAAACTTACCTTTTTTAGAAACTAAAAGTTTTAACTTTTAAAAATAGCAGAAATCAAAAGCCAAATATTTTTTTCAAAAATTAAATATTTTTATAAAAATATAAATATCTTTAACTTTTGTAAACAAACACTTTTAAAATAAAGAAGAGATAAAAATTATTTTGTCTGAAAGATGAAACAAACTGGCTCATAGTCCGTAGTACTGAGTCTAAGATGCTTCTAGATTTAATAAAGAAGTTAAGTAGTACAAGGATAACAAAAAAAAAAATTAATTAATTAATATTAAAATTTACTCCTGAATGGAGTGAGTTCACCTGCAAGTAAGGGTGTTCATCAACCGATCCAAATCGATTTAAACCATGATAACCGAACCAAAAAATCGATAACCGAATAAACCGAAAATCGAAAAAAAATCGCAAATTTTAATTGGATTGGGTCGGTTTTTGGATGGGTTGATGAAAACCGATCCAATCCAAACCGATCCAATATATTAATTCTCCTCTACCTACTTGGATCTTTCTCTAATCATAGCCTAAAAATTTCTAAACTCAAGACCGATTAACCCATCAACTAAACCTAAGAAAAAATCTAGTCATATCTCATCAACTAAATTTTATCTTTGTAGAGCTTCATATCTCATTATCAAAAAATAAATAAATTATATTATAGTTTACTAATGTTTTTGTATTTCAAAAAAATAATAATTTACAAAGTCAATATATACAAAGATGTTATTTGCACAATAATCATGAAATAAATCTTAGGACTTTAAGAAAACCGAAAACTTATCCAATCCAAACCGAAAAAAATTAGATTGGATCGGATCGGATTTGAAAAAAAATCCAAACTAAATGGATGATTATATAATCAGATCGAAGAGATTGGGTCGGTTGATTTTTTGCTTCCAAAATCGATCCAATCCCGACCGCAAACACCCCTACCTACAAGAAACTTAATAACTTGGTACCAAAAATTGAAGACACAAAATCTTCTCGAGAGAATCAGTTACTTCAATTCCTTCTACGTCCACTGTCTTGTCATTTTTGTGAAAAAGCTTGGGTAGTTTGGGTCGGTCAATGCCTTCCTCATAGCTGCTGGCCTTCTACTA